GAGGAACTGCCCATGTTATCGTTTTCTTCCCCAGAATTTGTGGCATTGGATAGAGGAAAAGTCTTCAATCCTATTTATATACTAAGGTCCAAAAGGAGTTTGGGATAAATTATGGGACAAAGGTCCTCCTCATATAAGGGTATTGTATTGTGGCATGTGTTTATTTTAGGGATAAATGCAACAGGGGTATCAAACATTTCATTTAATAACAGATTTTATCCAAATCTTTCATTTGTGTCACTCACGGTATCAAATCTTTTATTTTTGCCACCAACGATACTAAACCTTTTATTTTTGCCACCACCGGTATCAAACTTTTCAAAATGTTCGCAGCTGAAATCCAAATAATGGTTTCTGTTAGTTTGACCGGTAGTTGATCAAATAATTGACTTTGACAATAGTGTCGACTAATTTTAAAATGTTAAAATGGTAATTTTGCATTTTTTAATAATAAAATAATCAAAATTAAATAATTAAAATTAAAAACCCACTCCACCCCAACCCAACCCAACCCAACCTAACCTAACCTAAATCCAACAAATCTGGGTTTGGAACTTCGAGAACGCTTCAATAAGCTCGGGAATGGAGTTCCCAGAACCGAATGTGCACTCTGCTGCAATGGCAGTGGCTCTAAGAAACTCTGCCGTGTATTTAGCTCAAAACTTCATCTCAAACAATTCATCTTCTTCCCACCCTCCACACTTACCCCCACCTTCCCTCACCCAACCCCAACCAAACGAACCAAAATCCACCCACCTCCACTGTGCCGACAATGGCAATCCACCCACACATAGGCTGCAGCGACCGCCACAAGCACCCCCGCAAATTAGCAACAAGAAATGGACCCCACGTAAAATATATCAATTCCCTTTTACCATTTGCTACTCAAGAAAATCCTTTATTGTTGTCTACCTTCTTTGTTAAAGAATTCAAGGGAGTTCTGGAAAGTGGTATTGAAGTGCCAGAAAATTGATTTCGTAATCCTTAAATGTTAAAAGAGTTTTCTTTGTTCGTTTGGTAACTTATTTTTTTTTATGGAAATGGTGAAATGCTTACATTTCCAGCAGCAGTGCCTAAATCTTCAATCTTGATTGCACATATCTACTCTTTGGATACTGCGTTTTGAAATCTCTGATCGGTTGTTAAGGTCTAAATCTCTAATTCGGTCTACGTAGATCTACATAGTTGGGTAATAGGTTTTGTGACGCTATAGATTTGAGAATTCAAAGATGTTGATTTCCCAGATTTGTAGATTTGGGGTAGGGGTGGGGGTAGGTGGAGAAGAAGAAGGTGGAATGTGTATTTAATTTTAATTATTTGATTTAGATTTTTTTATTTTTAAAAATGTAAATTACCATTTTTACCTTTTAAAATCAGTTTACTTAATTGTCTAAGT